CAAACTATTCACTGACAAGTAGGATCAAAGACAACTTTTTTTTAATTTCTTTTTGCTTTTCTTTCGAAAGCAAGACCAGTCTCTCAAACTCTTCATTCAATATCTACTTCAAAACAAACAACTTCATCTGAATCAAAGTAGGGTTCATCTCCAGCTATCTTACCCTCTAAAGTAGTTTGTTTCTTGGAGAAATATTCATTATATCCCAAATCAACTCATGTTTTCCCAAATCAACTCCTTCAGAACTAGAATCCTTTTTTTAGTAGCCCTTTTCTCTTTACTAAGATTTATAACCTCCTCATGAACATCACTATCATACTCATCTTCTCTTTCGCCAAACAAATTTCCATTGTATGAATCTTCACTTGCTTCTATTTCACTTTCTCAAACAGATCCAACTACTGGAATATTAGATGCACCAACATAATAATTCCCACCCAAGTCATCTCCAACACTCGCAGAAGTCTTACCCAAGTCCTCTCCAACACTAACAGAAGTCCTACCCCTAAGTCCTCTCAAACGCTAGCAAAATTCCTACAAAGGTCTTCACCCAAGTCTTCACCAACATCAACAAATGTACCACCCACAACAGGTTCTTGAGGTTGTGCAGCCTCTTCAAACCCTAAACCCTCACTACCCTCAAATGTTTAAATAGATTCTTTATCAAAAGTAGCATTAGATTCCCACCCACATCATTTACATATCCAATTCGGGGGGACCACAATAGATTCTTCAACTAAATGAATCATATAAAGTTCAACAATATCTCCATTTTTAACTGAGGTACAACACCCATAATATCTCTAACACTTTTAACTTCAACAACATGACACGCTTTAGGTGATTTAATATAAATAGTACAACAAGAACAATTATAGCCAATATTTTAAAATAAAATCAACAAATTCAAAGTAGAAGAATTTATCAATATCTACACCAAAACAATCAGTGACAATACCTCCATCATACTTAATACGGGGTTTTTGTTGTAATTTTCCACCATGGTGAAACCTCAAGGTGACGTACACATCCATTGTCAAACTAAATTTTTAAAAAAAAAAATAGATTAAGCTTTAGGCAAAACCCTAAACTCAAATGCTACAACCATCCAAACGAAAATTACTAACCTGGTAACTCTATTTTCGTCGAAAAACATCACAAATTTGAAAAATCCTTTCACAATATGCATTGAAGATCCCTTCGCAATAAACTGAGATTAGGTTTATACTTTGGGGATATTTTTTAAGAAATGGAATTTGAGATTTAGGGAATATTTGTTTAGAAATTGGTCGAGTTTTATTTTGGAAACGGGTGGGTTGTATATAATTTAGTAAGTTATTTTAAAAATAATTAGCGAGAGCTGTTGTATCAGAAAGGGGTTCGGACGAACCCATTAGCTTTTCCGTAGATCCTATATTCATATTGAAATATCAAATATAAAGTACATATATATTTCCTGCGAACCCACAAGCATAGTGAGGCGGGTGGCCCAGTGGTCTCTACTCACCCAACGAATTCCTTCCATTCACCCTGACGTGGGTTCGAAAGTTGTTGTGGGCACTTCATTTTTGGAATTAATTTTTCTATCCTAAAGATTAAAATATTTTATACAAATAAGAAAATCTATAAATGAAAAAGAAAAACAAAAAAATGTTTTTGTGTCCTACTCTAAACAATATCTAACTATTTATTTCTTCTCAGATATTGAAAAGCTTTTAAGCCAAATTTATTTTCAAAAGTTAGGGTTCTAACTTTTATTATTGATTTGATTGCTACTATCCAACCTTTGCCCTCCAGTATGTACTGTGTACTCTTATCTCTTCTTTTCATTTTTTTTCTTATTTGTTTGTAGGGTTGTTTCACATATTGATAATTGATTATATTAAAATAATTGTTGTTCGCTTTTCAAAAATTTTAACTTTTGAAGACAATAATGGTTCTAGGTGAAAATGAAACTAATAAAATATATGTTTTAGGTGCCAAAATGTTAATGGTGAATTTAATAATTTTAATCTCACTTAGAACAATATTGAAGCTTACAGTAAAATGTTCAAAATTTATATTAAAAAATATTCATATTTTTTAAACAATATTTTAAAATTTTAAATTAAATTACTCAAATCTTCATATTATTAAATTAAGTTTTACAATAACAATATCTAAGATAATGTTTTCAAACATGACTAACATCTCATTAACATAATTTGTGTTTTTTGTGATTTTTAGGATTCAAATCGTCGTTTTTTAGTGAATTAAATACTTGCATATTTATTCATTAATTTGACGGTTGTTACTTTACGTTAAGATTGTTGTCCTTTCTTAAAATTTAGAACCCACAGGCCTGAAATCCTAACTTCGCCTTTGGATGTGGACAAATGAAGACATGCATTCTTAACAACACCCAGCCTTCAATTGGGCTGGTGTCTGGAGGATTGAAAAAAATTCACTTCAAAGATGTTAAGGGAATATTTAAGCACCCGTATGGTTTAAGTGCTAAAGTACGTTGTCTTGCCAAGTTCGGGGTAGGGAAGGGGCTGGTTATGTTTTTTCTCATGTTAAAAACATACTTAAAATATATTATTTGTTTGAGTTTCATATCTAAACTATTGAGAGTGCGAATTTTAGACTTCAACCATCACTCATTAGTCTGAGAAACACACATCAACTAATATGTGTTGGTGTGTGTACTACACTCTCTTTTTTATTTAAAAACTTTTCCACATGGCTAAAACATTCCACCTTTATAAAAATATAATAAATTATTAGTATTAGTTAAAAAATAAATATCCTAAAAAAATGAATTTTTATATATTTTGTTTGAAATAATATTTAAAACAGTTCTCTTACCCCACCTACTACATCCCCATGTACCCCTCCCAATCCCCCCCAATATCCCAAAAATATTATTTTAAATTTCTTTTCTAAGATTTTTTTTAAAATTTTTTTTTCAGCCCCTCCCCTATAACCACTCACCCCTACCTCCACCTCCCCTCCCATTAAATAAAATTAGAAATTTTATTAATTTTTTTTTTAAAAAATCCTACCTCATCCCCAGAAGCATTTCACATTTTTAATTCCTTTTATTAAAAAATTAAAAGTAATTTCTTACCCCCCTTCCCCTCGAACCACTCACCCCCTACCTCCCCTAACTTCTCCACCTCCCAAAAGAATCATATATATATATATATATTTTGTTTTGGTTTATATATATACAAATGTTTTAAAGAAAATATTTGCTACTTGCATATCGAATATAAAAATATTGAAAATTCAAAAAAGGAAAGAAAAACGTTTAAATGGTAAGCACGTGATATGAGATTAATTATTTGAATTTGAAGTTACCATTTGCTAAATATTTGTGGAGGTGGATTTTTAAATGACCGGTTCATCATTTTTAGAAATTTTAATAAAATTATCATTTTACCCCTCCCGATACAGATCCTGAGTCATTTTTTATTAGATTTTGAAATTGTTTCGAGTTTTGAGTATAAAGTTGTGAATTATGAAATTTTGGAGTTTTAAAAGGCTAAAGTTGTTAAAAATGGTTTTTGGTGTCTCTTGAAGTTTTGAGTCTCGAAATGAAATTCCATCGATTTCATCCGTTCTGAAATGTGGAAATTGGTCCAAGGAAGTTGTCAGCTTCACATTTAGAGTCTTTTAGTTGATTTGAGGTCCTAAGTTGGAAATTTCTGAGATTTTAGCCTTTGGATTGACTTTGGTCAATATTTGAGGTTTGGATGCTCGGATCAGATGTTAAAGTTACTCAAGGATTATGATGTTACTATCCAGTATCTTCCGGGTAAGGCTAATGTGGTGGCAGACGCACTAAGCCAGAAGATGGTAAGTATGGGTAGTTTAGCTTGCTTGGGTGTGTCCAAGAGACCCTTGGTCAAGGAGATTCAGACCTTGGAGCTAAGTTCATGCAGTTGGGCATCTCAGAGAAAGGTGGGGTGTTAACTATCATTGAGATTAGGCCCACATTCATTGAGGAGATCTAGGCCAAGCAGTTTGAGGATGAGAGTTTGAATGAGCTAAGAAAGAAAACAGTGTCTAGTAAGGCACAAGATTTGGTTCTTGATGCGGGGGGTGTACTCAGTTTTAAGGGGAAGAATTTGTGTTCTCCGAGTGGATGACTTGATTCAGAAGATGTTGACAGAATCCCATGGTTCGCGGTATTCCATTCATCCGGGTGTGACCAAGATGTACCGAGATTTGAAATGACTTTATTGGTGGCTTGTATGAAGAAAGACATAACTGAGTTTGTGGCTAAGTGCCAAAACTGTCATCAGGTAAAGCATGAGCACCAAAGGCCTGCAGGTTTTCTTCAACGAATGTCAATTGCGGAATTGAAGTGGGAAAGGATAGCTATGTATTTTGTGGTTGGTCTTCCCAAGACCTTGGGAAAGTTTGACTCAATTTGGGTGGTGGTTGACAGGCTGACTAAGTCAGCCCACTTCATTCCAGTCAGAGTAGACTATAATGTTCAACAGTTGACTAGGTTTATGTGAAAGAAATAGTGAGGTTGCATAGGGTGCCCCTTTCTATCATCTCAAACCGTGGCATACAGTTCACATCCAAGTTTTGGGGAAAAAATTGCATGAGGAGTTGGGCACTCAACTTACTTTTAGCACAACTTTCCATCCACAAACGGACGATAGTCAGAGAGAACTATTCAAGTGTTAGAGGACATGTGTGATTGACTTTGGAGGGCATCGGGATAAGTTCCTACTGTTGTGTGAGTTCTCCTATAATAACAGTTACCTCTCCAGCATTGACATGGCACCATTCGAGGCACTTTATGGGAGGGGATGTAGATCACCCATAGGGTGGTTTGAGGCTGGAGATGTGAAACCTTTGGGGGTGATTTGGTGAAGGATGCTTAGGATAAGGTGAGGAGTATCCAAGCTAAGCTTCTAGCAGCCCAGAGTCGACATAAAAAGTATGCAGACCGCAAGGTAAGGGACATGACATTTCAGGCTGGTGAATAAGTTCTTCTAAAGATGTCGCCTATAAAAGGGGTGATGAGATTCGGCAAGAAGGACAAGCTTAGTCTTCCATACATTAGGCCATTTGAGATTCTTGACTGTGTAAGGCCAGTGGCTTATATGTTGGCTTTACCACGTAGCCTATTTGGAGTCCATCCAGTGTTTCATGTGTCCATGTTGAAAAAGTATCATGAGGACGGAGATTACATCATAACGTGGGACTCAATTTTTTTAGACAAAGACCTTCAGTATTAGGAGGAACTGGTTGCAATTCTAGATCGCGATGTCCGAAAGCTAAGAACCACGGAGATAAAGTCTGTGAAAGTTCAATGGAAGTATCGTCCGGTTGAGGAAGCAACTTGGGAAATCGAGAAGGACATGCGAGACAAGTATCCAGTTATTCGACGACTCAGGTACTACTATACTCTTGCTTTATCCCTTTTCTCATAGTTTCCATTCGGGGACGAGTGATGGGTAAATTGGTATCTATTGTAACGACCTGTTTCCGTCGTTATGGAAAAGCCAATGGGGAAGGAATTCGGGCCAGAAAACTTCTGAGTAGTAATTTGGAAATTTCTAGCCTAGGCCAGATTCGGACGAAATCTGAGTCTGTGAGGTCTAGAGAAATTTGGTAATGAATGAGGAATTTAATTATGAATTTGATCACATGAGTGGATAGCCAAGGCGTTAAGGAGCCTGTACGACTTTATGGAATCGAATTCGGGTGAGTAAAACTCCCGAAACTAGTCCTGGCGTGAAAGGGTAGTTTTAGAATGTCCCGGTTTGAAGGTGTGTTGTGAAATAGGAGCTTGGAACTCAAATTTCGAGTTTCTGTCTCCGTGCAAGCCGCCGAGGCGGGATTAATCCCTCTAGGGCGGGGCTGCTGGGGCGGATTGGGGTCCGCTGTGGCGGGATAGTCGCGACTTAAGTCGGGGAAAAACCCCAATTTCATTATTTTCTGCAAAACTTCGTTCTTAAGAGCTAAGGGACGACCCAAGGCGATTCTTGATAATTTTCCACTATTTCTAGCGCTAAAGGTAAGTTAATTACTCCCCTAATCCGTATTTTGATTCCTAGAACTTAGAATCTTGGGTAATTATCGTTAATGAAGGGTTTTGGCCTGAAGTTGATGGTGGGAAAAGCCCTAGTTGAACATTAGGATCATGGGTTTGGTTTTCGATTGATAAGTTTGTTATAATCCGGGTAAATTAGACCTTGTTTATTGATCCTTGCGTTAATTACTTGTTTATAGACCAAGAACAAGCTGAAAAACTTCGGAAATGGAAGGCTCAAGTGTCTTAGGAGTATCCAAGCTAGGTTTTGAGGTAAGTGATGGTTTGATTTCTTGTTGTGTGATGTATGCTTGTTAATTACTTCATTGTATGCATGTATATATATGAATGGGAAATGCAATCTATCTAATGAAATTATTATGTGGGAACAATTACATGTCATGAACCTATTACTTGATTGTATGAGTATGAGCATTGTTCATTATTGGTGTGATTGTGCTGACTAGATCGGGTGTCATGTTCTGACACATATATTGGATTTGTTGTCATGTTCCGACACATATATTGAACCGGGTGTCACGTTCTGACAGATGTATATTGGATCGGGTGTCACGTTCCAACACACTAACAGTTTGGGTGTGGGTTCCATGGGAGGACCACTTGTGATTATTATGTTCATGTTTACCTGTCATTGAATTTGGAAAATGGTATGTTGCTCCTAAAATGGTAACTGAACTATGCAGCCTGTATATGTGTGCTTACTGTGTTGCAATTGCTGGTATACATTGTGCTTACGAAAGTAGCCGTGTGATCCTACCAATACACTGTGGTTTCGTGTACTAATACTGCACACGCTCTTTCTTTGTTGAGTACAAGGCATCTTCAGGCGGCTACTACAGACCTCAGTTAGGAGATTATTGATCGCCACCAGATTCGAGGGTGATCCAGTTCTTTCAGGATGCCATGAATTCTTCTTTTGTTTAGTCCATTCTTTTCGGACTCAGACTATCTATTTAGGCTGTTATGTTTAGTTTTTGGGGTTGTGCCTCTTTTTTCCTTAGACTTGTTGGTTAAACAGAATTTTGGTACGATGACTTTCAGTTCTAGGGGTTGAATTTCCACAATAGTTGTTTGTTAGACCGTCGAAGTTTATGGGAACTTTGTATTTTAATTAGACATTTAAACCTGCTTCCGTATCTTTAAATGCTTAGTTTTAGTTAAATTATTTAGTTGGGTTGTAGTAATGGTTCTCCCATCGTAGGGTTAGTGTGGGTGCCAATCACGACGATCTGGGTCGTGACACCCATTTATTCAAATTGCTTGATATGAGTGTTGTTAGTTTCATAATTTCATTATAAATACGTGTTTGACTAGATTGAAATGATTTGAACATTGTTCAGAAGGAAAACTCAAGTCTTGGATTGACTTTTGATTGAATTAAAGCAAGTGAACTTCTAAGGCTTGTAAATACTTGTAGAATCTTGGACTCTCTTTATTATATGTGTTGGGGAGTAATGAGGTCATGAGTTAATATGCTCAAAATGAATAAACTTAATGATAGAGACAGGATTAACTAAAAAGAGATTGTTTTGATAATAGTGTATTGTGCATTGTGAGTTGCCTTGAGTGTTGATATTGATTCAGTGATGAATGTGATACCTTGATAGTATGGTTGTGGATGTGAATTGCTTGTGATTGTTATATCTTCATTATTGTGTGAACAAGCCTATTTGCATTGATTTTGAAACACTGTGTGGAGATATACTCTATTAATGTCGAGGTCATTGCCGATGAGTATAATTGATGTCAATGTTATTGTTGGCGAGTGTGATTGATGTCGAAGTCATTACCGATGGTGTTATTGATGTTTAGGTCATCATCGACGAGAGTGATTGATGCTTAGGTCATTGCCAACAAATGATATTGATGCCAAGGTCATTGTCGTTGAGAGTGATTGATGCTAAGGTCATTGCTGCCAAGTGATATTGATGTCGAGGTCATTGGCGGTGAATGTTATTGATGTTGAGGTTATTGCCAACGAGTGTGATTGACATTTGTGATAATTGAACTTTTAATTAATGGGCTGACTTGTCGTGGTGAGATTAGAGGAGTGCTATCACGTCCATTTTTTTGTCGTGATAATATTTTTTGTCTCTGTTAAATACCACGTGACAAGATTTTTTTAAATAAATGAGAGATTGTAGCACACATACCAACACATATTAGTTTATGCGTGTTTCTCAAACTAATGAGTGATAGTTTAGGTATATAAAACTCACACTTCCAAAAGTTTAGACATGAAACTCAAAAAGTAAGATAGTTTATCTTTGTTTTTGACACTTTCATTCTTATGTAATTAACTATGGTGACTGGTAGTCCCGCTTTATCACTTTGAAAGTTCTAATGAATGTATAATGTATAGTGTACCAAAATACGCAATAAATAAATAAGTTAAGTCATACATATGAGAGAAGAATTAATATTAATTACAGAAATTACATATACAAAAATTTAAAGAACAAATTAGGGCTTCAATTGAGCTCATAGATGGATCATTACAAGTTTTTTAACGACTAAAAGAAACATGGATATTTTGATGTGTACTAATTATTCACTATAGCACGTATTAATTGTCCATTTAATTGAACAATAATTATGGTTATATGTTTTTTTTAAAAAATATTATCTTCAAATTATAAGACAAAAAATCTGAAAAACAGTGATGAAAGAGAAAAAAAAAAAAAAAAGGTGAAGAGAAAGAGAAAAGATATATATATATATTTTTCACTTTAGAGAGTACCACATCACTAAGAGTTTATTCCATGCTTTATTAATATTATTATTATATATAAATTCTCACATTTTTATGACCTTTTTCTTGGTCTCCATGCCTTCATAACCTCCCCGTCAAGATACATTCTTAACACAATTCTTATTGTTTGAAGTCTGATTCATTGTAACGCTTTTAATTCACACTTACTTCTCGTTTAAATTGCTAAAAAATGAGGTTTTTCGAGATATACAGGGCAACATAAAATAACAAATTATCTTATTTCAGTATTTAGTATTTTGAGTTTTATTTTACAACACATTATCATCACGAGATTTTAATTTGTTTTAATCTTTTTTTCTCAATGTTGTGCTTTAATATTATCAAAGTTTGAGTTCGTGACACTTAAGACCTTACGTGATTTGATTTTTCTTCTTCAAAACATACCCGAGTCTCGTAGAACTTGTGGCACCCATCATGGCATCATCCCAAGTCATAAGATACGTAATAAATTCAATTAAAGAAACAAAAGTTTGAGTACTCAAAACAACCCAATGGATCATTCCAAATCAATAAACTACCAATTACTAACCTCTAATTTGAGCACGTAGATGGAGGGGCCAGACACGCCAGTCCTTGGATATAAACAAGTAAGATACTTCTAAAAGAGTGAAACAATCACATGAGTTTAGTTGGAATCCTTTTGGAGTAAAATCAGTTTGCTATAACATGTTCCCTCTAACATTACTTTATTTGTATAATAATGGGAAAATGTTGGTATTCTGATTGAATTTTATGGCATTTTCCTTGTAACATTACTTGACTTCCAGCATCATATCTATGTATTTGTGAGGTGACCAGCTAGTCAGTTTATCTTAAAATATTTATTACGTGTAGAAAGTGTAGACAAACTTTAAACTATTGATGTAAATTAGACCTATGTATTGGACAAAATTGGCTAAAACACGTGGCAATAGAAGGAAGGGAGACACAATGATGTGGACAAAGAGACAAAGGGGGCAGGTGGCGCAGACAAGATCATACAGATCATCTGAGCATGACATGAATATTACTTAGTGACTTTCAACCATTGATTAAGATACATTAAGGCTCGAGTGAAGCTTTCTTATTGACTGCTTTCCCACCATTATAATTTATCAATAGTCTACTCCATTCATTTACAAAGACATTCTAATACTTTTAGAAATACAATTACAACTCTATTATTCTTGTCCTTCGGGATGACTCAGTTGGTTTGGAGGGTGGTTATCCACACGGATGATTTGGGATCAATCTTCGCTCAATGCCTTCTAAGTCGAGCATGTCGCATAGGGCTTGCCTAGTGCAGTTTATATCCCCTGTGTGGTTTGCAGGCTATTACACAGTCGAGAATTTACCCAGTGCGCACAAAATGCTCACCACAGAGTTCTCACTCAAAGAGCAGAGACTGTGGCATAAATTGTAGCGGTTGCAGGTTATCCTGAGGTTCCAAAAAACTCTATTATGCTTGAGCTGCAAATTTGCTTTACCTTACTTATTCAATCTGAATTCTTTAAGCATTTTATCCTCGAACATTTTTGGAGCTAAGACCTACGCCTTTGGTCTTTGGATCCAGTCTCGGTAACAACAACAAAGCTAGAAACTCCATATGCTTCACTCTCTTATTTGTTTCATTTGTTTTTACTTACTAATGTTACGACCCGAAATCAAATTGTGATGGCGCTTAGCAACCCTGGGTAGGCAAGCCAATACCTAAAACTAACTTGTGGAAGATAACAATTTGATAATAATTATAATAAAGGACAAGCGGAAAAAAGAATAAGGATATAGAATAGAGCCGTAGTATGGAAATGTAAGTACGATACATAATATACAAAACAGATCCAAATGGCCAAGAACGACAAACTGACACAAGAACCAAATCTCTGGACCTGGTGTCACAGGTATACGAGCTACTAAGTACAAAAATGCTATGTATACAAGAGATAATGAAAATACAAAATACATGTCACGATCCAAAAATAAACGTGATGACACTCATCTTATCTCACCAAGACAAGTCAGCCTAAAACTCAAATATCACAAAAATGCGGAAGTAAGACAAATTGACATCTCAAAATATCATAATTAAGTGTGGATAACTAAGTCAACTTAATAAAACCCCAAAACCTGGTTATCACGTGTACAAACCTCTAAAGTATTACAATTGATTCAAAAGAAAATACAAGTCTCAAATGACATTGTTTCTAGAATAAAACAAGATCATAAATAAGAGTAAGAAGGTCTGCCTAAATGGCAAGCAGCTACCTCACAAACTTCCACAAGAAGCCTCAGACAAGGAAAGAAGAGAAAGTATCATGAAGGTTCGAGCTAGTAACCTACACAAATGTAGATCATGTCCACCAATGATAAAGATGTGCAATTCAATGAAATGCAATGTCAAGAATAGCGATGCATGTCTGACCTAACAATACAAACCCGATGTCTCTTAGTATGGGATCCATGGGGGACATATATGCCCATGTATCAATCGCGGCGTACGACATGACCCTCAATATATAGCATCTGTCGCGGCGCGCGACACGTCCCTCGATATATAGTATCCGTCGCGGCGCGCGACACGTCCCTTGATATATAGTATCTGTCGCGGCGTGCGACACGTCCCTCAAAATATAGTATCCGTCGCGGCGTGCGACACGTCCCTTGAAATGGTACATCCTCTTTAATTTCTTATTCTTCCTCAATTCACATAATACTTATCACAACCATGTCTCAGAATCAATGCAAATGACATGTTCACATAAATAATGAAGATATGACCGTTTTCATAATAATGCACAATTCACAACAACACAACCGTGATACAACATCAACAATGAGTCAATAAGCCTTTCAAACCATTCTCAACACATCACACACCAACAATTAATCACCTTGCATTTTATTACCTCTTTTTCATCATTAGAATTATTCAATATGGACAAGTCAACCCATCACCAAGTCCCATTACTCCCCAACACATACCACATGGAAATATACAATTCTATGCACTTAACAAAGGTTTAGAAATCCACTTGCCTCAAATACTCGAACAATCACTCTGAGACTTGAGCCTTCCCTTTTCGTTGAGCATCCAAATCAATGCAATCTATTTAAGTACATATTCACAATAAGATTTCGAAACTAACAACATCCACATTACTATGTATTTAACCTTGACTTAATATTTAATTAACTATCTCAATATACTAAAATTTAACTCATAATGTGATAATAATTAAGCCAAATTACAAATCATCCACGGAGAGAACACAACCTCCAAACCTAAAAACCCCTACGTCCTCACTGTATACCCATCCTAATTCCTAATCGTTAACCACACATAGCATAACAATCATTACATATTTGTTATTCATTAAAATTAGTCACACAATTTTTTTTCCAGGGACCCACGTTGAATAACTACAAATTTTCCATTCACTTCCTTCTTATGTTCAACCCATTTATGACAAATATTTTGTCTTTTTCTCCTTTACAATGCTCCAGCAATACACATTACGTTATCAATAATTAGATCATCCAACTATATAATAATCACATTGAAAAAAAAGACTTTATTACCTTACTCGATTCACTCGATTTTCCTTTGATTTGTTTTCTCTGTCGCAGTGAGTTTCCTCCTTCTTTCAACAGCCGCATGTCCTCTTCTTTTCCCTTTTCAGTTAGAGCAATTTTCACATATAGCAAATAAAAAAATTATATTTGTATGTAGGGGTGTTCACGGTTTGGATAAAAATCGATCCAAACCGAAAAATCAAACCAAAGCTATAAAATAAAACCGATTTATTTGGGTTTGGTTTGGTTTGGTTTTAGATTTTTGAAAACCAATAGTATTTGGTTTGGTTATGGTTTTATTCGGAAAAAACCGAAGAAATAACCGAACCGAACCGATGAATTATATACATATATTTTA